AAATTATATGAGCTTTTAAATCCTAAATGTAAATTTAGTGCTGACAAATACAATTATATGTAGTCGAGCCTTAATCTTGGAAGCATTACTGAACTGTGTAATCTGTGCTGTAACTATCTAGTTTTTCACACCTGATGCTCAGATTTAATATGTATATACTTCAATGAAAGTACAGATAAGCAAACATGTATTTACCCTTGCTTTCAGCTCATTTTCTAGTCTGTCACATGTGGGTGCTTAGTATGAATTGTCTTCAAAGCATACGACACACGTCAGTGCTGGAGTCAGTATGACAAAGCAGCATGCACGTTGCCTCTCTCTCTGAAGACTTGGTACCTTTTAAATACTCAGTTCTTTAGCTTTTTTTTTACTAGCAGAAACTCCAGTGCTATTTACCATTACCATTACCCATGATGCTGCTCTGCTGTGCTTTAAAATGTCTTAAAGCAGAGCAAGAACTTCAATCCCTGTTCATTTCTAGTGAACAGCTTCTCAGTAAAGTTTTGCAGTCCAGAACTGGATCTCAGGATACAGCAGAGCAAAGCTGATACAGATAGCCAGTTTGAGGATTTGAAGAGGAACATGAACAGAAGGAACAGTAGATGTCACATAGTGTGACACCGAGTGGCTACCGACTGCCTGTTTAACTGTTTAGGGGGCACTTCAGAAACAGATAATTTATGTTAGGATAAACAGGAAGGTGATTCATCAACACATATATTTGTTTGGAAGCTGTAGATGTTTTCAGAAGTGGTGAGCTACATGTTTTCTTCCAAAGGATGACACTGAAGCACAGAATTTATACATGTATAGAAAATGCTAACCGTGCTGTAGACTGTAATAGAAAAGAATCCAGTTGAGGGATTGACATCCTTCTTCCCTGAGGATAGCACGAAATTGAGCATGTGTGGAAGTTGCCTTTGACCAACTTAGAATTTTAACTATTTTTTATTGACACTACTAAAACTATCTAACCATGGCTTTCTTCATAAATTTGTTGCTTTCTTCTCTCCCCCCACTACCAAGGTTTTTCTGAGAGCTTGCTTTATGTTTAAAGCTCGTTATTGGTACTGCTAGTTAGTTTTCTACCCTCTTGTTATTTGAGAAGTCATGATTTGGTTATGAATATCATGGATTTGCTTATCTGAATGCATAATTCCAAGCACTTTTTATTAAAATATTTTTTTTAATTTCTTCTTACTGCTGTCTAATATGAAAGTTATCTTGATTACAGATGAGTACGGTTGTTCAAAAGGTTCATTCTATTAATATTCATTTTTCCAAAGTGTTGAAAAGCAGTGACAATATATACTTTTTGCCCTCAATAAGTGGATGCATTTTACTTATCTCTTTACTATTTTCCTTAACTAATTTTTGACCTTATAGCAATGTGACTTCTCCAAAGTAGTATCTAATTATATGTGAGATGGATCTTTCATAGATGAGTTGATAGCTGGTGATTCCCTATTCTTCTCTCTAGCCTAAAAGAGGTTCTGAAAGTATATACTGTCCTTCTAAAATCCATTTGCATGAGTAACTTTTTGAGATATTTTAATATGCAGGTTGCATGTTTTTGTGTCTGTCTTAAGGTATTCCTCACTTGCAACAACTTAGGAAATTAAAATGGTCGTTCATGTATTGCTGTGGGACAGTTTGAGTGCAAATTTATTGCAAAATAAGAGAAATATTTCTCCTAATGAAACTGTAAAATTTAGATATCAGTGGTATTTGCTATGAAGCAAAGAATAGATATACAGAAGCAATATATGAATTTATTAAAGCCTTCGTCTGCCATCTGTTTCTGTACAGCTGTGGTGTAGCATTGGTCTGTTCCTTTGCCTGTTGTAAGTTTGGCTTATGAACACCAAAGAATGTTCCAAAATTACACCAGGGAATTATTGAAGGACTGTATTTTCATCAAAGTTCAAAGTAGTGTCATATAATTTGTCTCTTCAGAATTATAAATTCTCTGCTGTCATGGAGTTAATTTTTAGTTATTCCATTGCAAGAAATTGTGCTCAGAGATATCATGTTAGACTAGAAATCATCTTTTAGAGAGATGGCAACTGAGGTATATTTCTGATGCTTTCACTAACATTTAAAAAGTCTGCAGCTGTCGGAGTTCCAGATTCAGTCGTTTTAGTTTCATTCACTGCTAATGTGCTTTCTGGAGCTGAGAACAATCCAAAGCATTTTCTGTTTTCAACTTTGCCTTTAAAAATTCATTAATAAAATAATAGTCTATCCGATCCTATTTTTTTTGGGGGTAGCATTAGAGTGGTTGAAAGCGTTCATACAGATGCCAGTTCATGACAAAGTTAATGGAAGATCTGTTCACCTTGACATCCATGGTTGTCAGCCCTGTATAAACATGGGAAAATGTTGCTGGAAATGGTGACTTCAGATGTGGAGAAGGTTCCTGCAGGTGGCAGTGCCTCTAGCAGTGAATGACAGCATGCATGCATTGCAGCCAGGGACACGGGACAGGCATTTCAGGAATGCTTTAAAATTCTTCTCGTGCTTGATGTCAGTTTGACATGCTAACGTACACCAGGAAATTATTTATACTCTGTGTCTTATGCTTTAAAGTTTGGTGTTTGGCTTATCTTTGTGATTTTTATAACTCATTGCTCTTGAAAGATGTCCTTCATCAGTATCATTGTGATGCATATTGCTGAGGAATGTCTGTATCATTATGGTCCATGGAATGACTCAATTGAATTATGTTGGTTTAGGAAAAAAATACATAGATATCTCTTTGTGTTTACATTTTAGGTGGCCAAGAGGAATATGTCTTGTCATATGAACCAGTCAATCAACAAGAAGGTTTGTAGATCTCACTTAGTATAAAATAAATACAATCTGAATTATCAGAATGCTTCATGTGCCCTTATGTACTAAGCACCATGGCAAACTACTTCACTCTCTTGAACTTCTTTATTCAAATGAATAAATCATAAAGGCATAAGTTATTTTAAAAAATTGCTCAATTATTTAGTGCAAAATCTAAAGGTGTGCTGCTGAAAGAACTTGTGTGGTTGACATTGCAGAAGGAAAATATTTTTAACAGTTTTTCAATGCAAACTTCAGAAATTACAGTTTTCTTCTGTTTCAGATTGCTTTAGTTTCTCACTGTGTCACAGCAAAAAGTGTGTCAGTAGATCATTTGTCTGTTTACTAAACATTCAGGTGAAATGTCTCTAAAACAGTCTTCTATTTCTGTGTGGACTCCTTATATGGCTAATTGGTTAGTAATTGCCAAGGGAATTTTTTTTCAGAAAAAAAGAGAAATACTGAAATGGAAATGAATAGGAGAAAATACTCCCTCACATATGCATTTAAAATAAAATGCTTTTCACTGATTTCCAGTGGAATGGTATCATGTCTTCTCACCTTAGTCCTGATGTTGATTCACTGTGTGAATATAGATGTGGAATTTTTAGTGTTCCCCTTCACTAGCACAGGTGCTAACATGTGATTTACATTATCTGATACATAGCTCTCTTAATTATTCTGATGAAAGGCATGTCCTTGGGGAACACTTGTTACCTGCTGCCTATCAAATAGGATGCCATCAAAGTCAATATACATCACATGTTAACATGAACTTGAGTGCCAGGATTTTATTTTTGGTTTTGGTGACTAGCATGGCCAAGCTGCTTTTAATTGCATTGTGGCATATACACCTGTACAGACTTTCCACTCTGACTTGTTATCATGGCACATGGGATCAAATTCATCAGTAAACTTTCAAAAGCAGTAAAAATTCTTGTACAAGATTAATACAAACAACATTGTTTATATCATATAATTTGCAATGGTAGATGGCAAAAAAAAATCATGGATGAGAAATGCCTGAGTTAAGACTCTACTGGAAATGGGATGTAAAATAAATACATCCCATCCTTTGATGTAAAGTAAATAAGTTATGCTTAAGGTAGGAGACTGAAGGTTGGTCACCCTGGCAGGAGCAGCTGCTGTCTGTGCCTGCACACCACAGGGGCTCACAAAAGGAGGAACATGTTTAGCTGGCACTGCCTTCCCAGGTAGATGGTTTAGTGAGAATGACAGTAATATCAAGTAGCTTAATGGTTTAGTGAGAGCAATAGTAATACCATGTGAATTAATGCCAAGACTGAAGAGGAAAGATGTGAATGAGACTTTGCACAAGCCAATGGTTTAGGAACCATCATACTGTAAAACTAAATATTATAGAGAGCCAAGTGCTTTGGCACTTAAACACTGGACTGTAATTCCCTTTGAGTAACATAGTGGATAAGGAAGGCCATAAAGAACCTTCATCTCATTCCTTTGCCTAGGAGCAGTCATGCATTCTCTGTGTGTTACCTGCATTTCACCACTAATTCCATTCCTCACTAATGTATTGTTTTAAGAAGCCCAGAGGAGTAAAGAACTGTAATGATAAATATAGATTTAAAGGTGCTTGGACTTGGGGCACTGCTGGGACATGAGACCCTGGTGGGACTTGGGGCACTGCTGGGCCACCCTTAGGCATTAAGCAAAGATGTTTGTTATTAAATGAAAAGTTTGACAGTTAGGGGATTCAGAACATTCCTTTTATGAATATATCAATACCATGGAAAGAAAATAGTTCTCAGAGTTAAATCAAAACATATTTTATAGGTCAGAGTTTAATTTGGACTTACTTGTGCAGACAGATTGAACCAAAAATTAAAATTTTTACCACTGAAATGATAAGCTAATGACAAGATACTTAGACATTATCGTCTTTGCCTCTTGCAGTATAATTAGACATTTTCTGCTCAAGCTTAATTTTCAACCAAAAGCTCTTTATAAAAAGTTAAGCTACTTTTAAAAGATATTACACTTAATTTTATTAAGGTGTTCATAATTAGGGGGACTGTGTATAGCTCTTTCATATATGAGTGTTTAATTGTGGTCTTAGAGAAAAAGAAGCTTCCCAATACAGACATAGAATTCCATGAATTCTGCTGCTGCTTTAAATTGAAAAGATTTTCAAACCTCCCCTTTTGCTTCTGCCATTAGAATGTAGGATGTTACTTTGTGAAATGACTTTTTTTTCCCCCCCAAAGACAACTGCATTCAAGACTCATCCTCAGTCACTGAGGGTAGTGATTTGAGGGTGAAGGTGTAAGATATTGCTGTGACCGTGGTATTAATTGATTTGCATTGTTCAACGTGTGTTCTTCTCTTTAGGAGTACATGTCTTGAGGTATTAAAATCGTTGTGATAAAGTCTATTTTGGTGAGCTCTAAGAAGTTAGCAGTTGTACTGAAATGATATTATTCCTTTGTGTTTAATAGTCAGTTACACTCGACCTGTGATTGTTTTGGGACCCATGAAAGACAGAATAAACGATGACCTGATCTCAGAATTTCCAGACAAATTTGGCTCATGTGTTCCACGTAAGTCTCAGCAAATACTAAAGCAATTCTAAATGATACTTTGCTGTTAATTTTTTAGAGACATCCTGTGTATGTTGAGTTAAAAAAAAAGTAGCTAATATATTGCCTAAAGTTTATAGACCTATCTTAATTGTCAATCTCTTTGCTTGTGAAAATTTTGCCATATAAACGGGATGACTATTTTTGGATATTGTAGAGGAAAAAAGTCACTGTTTTTTTTTTTTTTTCTTTAAAAATTACTGGTTTCTATTTAAAGATACTACTAGACCAAAACGAGATTATGAGGTGGATGGACGTGATTACCATTTTGTCACTTCTCGAGAGCAAATGGAGAAGGATATTCAGGATCACAAATTCATTGAAGCTGGCCAGTACAATAATCATCTTTATGGAACAAGTGTCCAGTCAGTGCGAGAAGTAGCAGAAAAGGTAAATCAGTGTCAGTTACTTTTCATTTACTGGGGTGTGATTATCTGCCTGTGCTGACAGGGAAAAAGAGAATGGCAAGAAGTCATTAAGAAGCCTCTGACTTTAAAAGGACTTTGTGTAAGACTAGAAACAAAGAACATTGTCACAGCTGCATTTAGGGAAGTAATGAAGCTTTGGGATAATGACAGCATCATGATGAAATTATGGCAAAAGAGCAACCATAGTTTGTGTCCTCTTATTTAAAGAGTATATAGAAGTAGTAATTGTAATTACAGGCTAATTAGCCTAGCTCACATACATAGATCATTAACTAATTAAGAATGGTGGTGGTGGAGTTAATTAATATGATGATTCATTTTATATAGACCTGTGCAGAAGAAAATTTGTAAAAATGTTGTTCTGTGTGCCCTTCATGTATTTAGCTGACAAAGGGGAAAAAGTAAATGGAATAAACTTAATTTTAAGAAGACTTTGTACATAACTACCACTACATTTTGGAGACTGACCTTACTGATTTTATCCTGAACAGATTTGGGTGAACTATTTCTTACAAAATCTAATTATTTCTGAGTTCAAACTGAAGTTCATTTGATTCAGCTGTAAAAAAGAGGTTTATTTCTGAGAGTAAGGTTCTTGTAAATAAAGAGTTTGGGTGGAAGTTTTTTGCAAATGTTCCATGTTAAGTTGATGAGTGTTGTTCTACTGCTTACAAATACAGTGCATTTACATTAGACAATGTAAATGTTTCTCTGGGAGAGAAGAAATAGCTATTTTCTAGGTGGGAACTCACAGTTGTGAGCAGTGTCAGTCTGGACATGCAGAGGCTAAGTGTGGTTAACCCATGTGACACTGGGGTGTAGTTAGTCCTCTGGAAAACCCTTTAGACCATTCTGACTAAATGGGTGAGTGTTGTCATTTCTGGCAACTGAATTTTCTGGCAGCAAAGGGTGAACATGGTAAGATTCTGTGGGTCACATGATGAAGTTTTCTTCTGCTGTCTTTCTCACCATGTGGAATAGAACCTGACCCTGAATATAGTGAGGAAAGGACAGGAAATAATATTAGTTACAAAGTTTTTTAAGTAAATGAGCAGTACTTTGGGAGGCTGAGCAAAGCTGTGAAACTATCATATGTGGTTAAATGATGAAACTATTTATTGAACAGCTTAAATATTATAAATCCCTTGGCAGTTGCTTTACCTGCTAGCACAGATACAATCCTTCAGTTCCATCCTGGACCTGAAATTGGCTGTGTTCTTTTGCCCATCTCTTGGGATTAGTAAGGTACAAAATGACTATGAATCTTTTATAAATGGACATGAAGAACTACCAGATGTCTCCATGCTAGTAAATCTCTTGCACAGCCACCATGGGACTTTGGGTAGATGCAGCAGTTTCTCAGTTGCAGCTAACATTATTTTTCTGGAAAACAATGGCCTGTCTTTCAGAACCTGACTTAAAAATCATGACAGGGCTGCAAAGTGGTCAGTCTGAGGCTACTCCCATCCTTGTATTCTTCTCTGGCTTGCTTAAGAGATTAGTCTTTTCAGTGGGTTTTATTACTGGGATACAAAAGATCATTTCCAAGTTTTTTATGATGAATTTAGGAGAAGACAGAGTGACTGCCACTACCTCAAAAAGTACCAGAAACAGTAGTCTTAGAATAGCCTCCAGTTGTGTTCATTTGCCCAAGCTTCCAGCTGACCCCTCTCTATTTCCTAATAGAAACAGTAGTCTTAGAATAGCCTCCAATTGTGTTCATTTGCCCAAGCTTCCAGGTGACCCCTCTCTATTTCCTTACCTACAATGACACAGCTAAATGTGCTTTTGATGCCATTGCACAGTTGTAAAAGGCACCCGACACAGCTAAATGTGCTTTTGATGCCACTGCACAGTTGTAAAAGGCACTGAGTGCTGTGCTGTGCTTCTCAATCAGATGCAGTGCAAGTAAGGAACTAAAAAATAGGTAAAATGTTGTTCTACATGCACTGTGCAAAGAGCAGAATGGCTTCCCTGGATGAAACATGGTAATCGTATCTTGAAGTACTTGCATTTCTTTTTCCTTGTCTTTCAAATCTTCACCTGAAAGGAATTTTCATATCCTCTTTTCTTTGGAATCACTAGCAGCTTGTACATCTCTGTGTCTGAGGTCACTGTTAATGCACATTCAGTGTTCATTTGGAACAAACTGTCAGTTATATTCCATGAGGTCCAGCACAGGTACTGTGCTGCCTATCTAGCCCTGCCCCTTTGCACAAAATCCTTTGGCACCTGCCATAAGTTGTTGGGCCAAACACAGCAAATAGTGTCTTATTCCAAAAAGAAAAAAGGACCAGGTAATGCATTTAATTCTCAATTCTCAGAGCATGTGCCACATTTTAAAGACAAACCATTTGAAATATGTGGACAGATCAGCACAGGTGGTAAAATACTCTGCTAGAACATATGGACACCTCTTTAAAGTTATCCCAGTCAGTGTCCAGACCCATGGACTGAATCTGGGGAACAGCTGTCATCACTTGAAAGCACAGAGACATACGTATTGTTTGTGTGGGAAGAACAGTTCTATCCTCTTTAAGAATTCCCGAAATAAAAATCTGGGGGTTTGTTGTGCAAGAGATCATATGTAAATGATCCTAGTGATCTCTTCTGCCAGGAAACAGAAGCATGTCAGTCATTTCAGACTGCAGTCACTTCCTTGCTTTTCAACATGCTCTCTGGAATGATCTCCCAGGAGTTCTGGAATGCTGTTGTATGATAGGAGTAACCTTTGGTTACATGGTGCTCCTGGGTTTGTATCCTGGCTCAGAGATTTCTGCCATTCACATTGGTCTCCTGCTCAAGAATCAGCATTTCTTCATTTATCTTTAATCCTCTTCCCCTGTACCTTTCTAAAATGGTGGCAGCCAAATTAATCCTATGCTGCTCAGAAAGGAAAGAAATAAAAAAAACGAGAGTATTCAAGATGAAAGGGGCCTGAGGAACAGGCTCTCAGCCTTTTGAGCTGAGATATTACAGAGAGCTGGAAAATTCTTTATAGTGGGAGAATAAAGGTGGGGAGAAAAGCAGCCATACCACATTGTCTCCCAGTTGCCCAAGGAATGCTTAAACTATATTTGTTTCTCAAGAGATGAAAAAAGTAGCAGTCCAAATAAATTGCATTCACCATCTCCAGCTTGGTAGTCTGCTGTGTTGTACCTGGGGGAGGAGAGGGCTTGTATGCAGTTCCATCAAATGGTTCTAGGGTGGCACATTGCCCTGCCATCATGGGTGATGTATCTGTGACATGGGCACCTCCCTAAAGGGTCCTCAAATTATTACCAAGCAGAAGAAAAATAAAAAATTTTGGTGGTAGCGTTGAAGCCCAGCTGTTCCACTCAGTGATTCTGCACTGCTGGCTGGGCTGCTGAAAGGAAGGAAGAAAGAAAGGTCAGGAACATTTGAAATGATGTGTGATGCAACAGAGGAGCATTATTGTAGGGCCTTGTGCTAAAGTGGTGAAATCACAGTATCATTGATGCAAACACTGATTTTGCTGGCTTCAGTGGAGATGTGTTTTCTCTTCTAAATTATTATGCTGTGCTACCTGTAACTTAATTTTGCTTAGTGCCATTTTCCTTTCTCTCTCACTTTTTAGGGTAAACATTGCATTCTTGATGTTTCTGGGAATGCAATCAAAAGGCTGCAGATTGCCCAGCTGTACCCAATCTCCATCTTTATTAAACCCAAAACAGTGGAAAATATCATGTGAGTACAAATAGAGTACCTCAGGCTCAATCATTTGAGACTGTCATTGCATTTGAAAAGCCAACTGCAAGTTACATGCAGACAATTGTCATGTTTCCATTTGAAATAATGTTCCATTTCCCAAGTTTAATTTTTAAGGACTTTAATATGAGGTTTCTAATCCAAATTAAGGTGCTTGAGAACGAATGTCATTGTGTTAAGTTCCATGCAACACAGTGCCAGAAGAGCTCATTTCTTCTGTCACCTCTGTCATTAGGGTTAACCCTCTTATTAGGGTTAACACTCAGACAACAGTTTGAAACTCTCTTTTTAAAGACTCCAGGTAATTTAAAAATGTATGTTTTCAATTTCAGGGAAATGAATAAACGTTTAACAGAAGAGCAAGCCAGGAAGACATTTGAGAGGGCCATGAAACTGGAGCAAGAATTTACTGAACACTTCACAGGTGTGTCTTGCATGGGACTATTCCCTTGCCAGAGTTGAAACTTTATTGCTTGCTGTAAAAATAACACTTGCCTAACCACTGAGATAAGGTTGAACTTGGTTTTTCAGATGATCTCTGATTATTTTGAGGCATAGACCCATCTTAGTCCCTCTACACTGAATTCAATTTGATCAATTAATTTAATATACACAAAAATTTACCAGGAGCTTCATTTAGTTTTTACAAACTCTATGACTTTCTACCTTTTTCCTGGGTATTATAATGCAGATGTTTGCTTTGTTGTTATGTATGCCTAAAGCTTTTCATTTGCAGACCTGAGATTGCCCAGCGAAGCTGCCTCTAGGAAATGATTAATTTATGGGTTTTTTGGGGTTTTTTTTAATTGTGAAGATGATCAAACAGGATGGTAGTGAATTAAGCCTCTGGAAATTGAACACTACAACATAATGGTACTTAGGAAATCCAAGTTGTGCCTGCCATGGACCTTACTGTAACATCAAGGGATGGGCTGCAGTCACTCAAACTGTGCTCATTCCTTGTATTGTGGCTTGTAGTAGGGGGAGGTTGGTCAAGTCATGACCTTCAGGATGCCAGAAATGAGGCTTCCCTATTCCTGCCCTGATAGACAATTGCTCCTTTCCTTCCTCTTATGTTCTCTTTTGCAGTGTTTTAGTGTTTACTGCTTTGCCCAGGTCCTTCTTCCACATCTTCCATGGGCAGAGCTGTGAATGGAGCAGTTCTGCTCCAGCTGGGGAGAGACACAGGAAGGAGTGGTGGGAGTGGGGGAAGGTGGAGGAACCAGTAGAGTCCCTGCCACAGTCCTCCTGCTGCCTCATTCTCTACATTTTGTGCTACCTAGATGTCAGTTTATCCCAATACTGTATCTTGTTCTTCCCAGAGCCTTCTGTCTGCACCCAGAAAGTTAGAATCATAGAATTTAGGAGTTGGAATGAACCTTACAGATCATCTAGTCCCAACCCCCCAAAGTTATGGGACTTGCAAAATGTATTGGAAGTTCTTCCTGTTATAGAGTCCCTTTCCAAATGGCTTGCAAATGTGTCAGGTTTGTTGTTCAGGAAATGAAGGGGTTTATGTTGATGTATATTAATTAAATAGTTAGTAGTAGATGCTATTATCCCAGGCTGTATCAGGGCTCTATATAGGACAGTTTTTCAGGAAATTAAGAGACATAACTCATGATATTTCAAAAATCTAAAGGCTTTTTTGAGTCCTCTAGTGCTCAGGTTCATGATTTTTCTCTGGAGTATACAGCTTGTTGACAAAGGAAGATGGTTGGACTTCTCTCCTTGATAATCCAGTTCAAGCCAGAAATCCTTTTCTGAATCTGTTTGAGATAACTGAAGACATTACAGATCCTACTTAGAGTTTGGAGGCTGCCACCCCTGTGAATCAGGTGGTAAACCAGAAAGTGTGAGCATTCCCTAATCTGTTTAAAAATACCACATCATGTGTGGTAACTGAAACCAGCTTCAGGTGCAGGTTCAGTTTCAACAGACTTAGTTTGCACCAAAGCTCATGAAGAGCACATCCTTCTGATTTGAGGGTGTTGAGGTTTGGAAGAGATGTGGTTGACCATAGCTGGAGAGAAGTGAGGTGCTGAAGCTTGTAGCTGTTTGTGCTGCAAAGACATTTCTAATTCTGATGCTCTGTTGTGCTGTGAACATTACACTTGACCTGTAATAGTGGAGCAGCCTCTTCCCACAGGCAGTACAACGGGCTGCAGATGGGGAGAAAGCTTTTAAGAGCTGGGAAAGCAATGGTAGGAATAAAAAGGAAGTAATTTGCATGAATGCAAACCTCAGAAGCAGCAGTAATCTCTTAAGGCACAAAAGAGTGAGTCTGGCCTGCCTCCAAAACTATCTTCCATGCTAAACTTTGTTTCTTTGGTTACCGACATGGTGATCCTAATTAAAAGGAAGTTGCTCTCTCATAGTGATTGCCTTTCCAGACTGAAGTGTGGTAAGAACAGCTGAAACTTCATTCTCATTTTTGCCTGACTGTGCTTTATTCTGCTATGTCAGAACACGCTCATATTGGCTCATTTCTAATTATTTTCTAGCCTTGGCAAAAATTATATCTAGCTTACACCAACTTTTGACTATATAAGGAGGCCTATTGTCTATACAACTTGAATCTGTTGGCTGGACAACAAACTCCATGAGTTCCTCCTCTTTGTAGCCAAAAGCAAAGGTGGTGCTAGCAGGTTGGCATGCCAAGGTCAGCCTTGCTGG